CCATCATATAAATAAACTGAAAGAAAAAACCATATGATCATTTCATTGGATGCTGAAAAAGCATTTGACAAAATTCAAAACCTCTTTATGATAAAGGTGTTGGAGAGATTGAGCATACGAGGATCATACCTAAATATAATAAAAGCAATATATAGCAAGCCGACAGCTAACATCAAATTGAACGGAGAGAAATTCAAAGCCGTCCCACTAAAATCAGGAAAAAGACAAGGCTGTCCACTCTCTCCATACCTCTTCAATATAGTGCTTGAAGTTCTAGCAATAGCAAGAAGACAACATTAGGGGATCAAGGGGATTCAAATTGGAAAGGATGAAGTTAAACTTTTGTTATTTGCAGATGATATGATAGTGTACATAAGCGACCCCAAAAACTCTACGAAAGAACTCCTACAGTTGATAAACACCTTTAGTAATGTGGCAGGATACAAGATCAACTCCAAAAAAATCGGTTGCCCTCCTATACACAAAGGATTAATAAGCAGAGAGGGAAATCAGAGAAACATCACCTTTCATGATAGCCCCAAATAGCATAAAATATCTTGGGGTAACACTAACCAAAGAAGTGAAAGACCTATTTGACAAGAACTTTAAGTCCTTGAAGAAAGAAATTGAGGAGGATACCAGAAAATGGAAAGATCTCCCCTGCTCTTGGATTGGGAGAATCAACATAGTAAAAATGATAATTCTACCAAAAGCAATCTATAGATTCAATGCAATTCCCATCAAAATCCCATCAAACTTCTTCACAGACCTTGAGAGAACAATAATCAAGTTTATATGGCAAAACAAAAAACCCAGGATAGCCAAAACAATCTTATAAATGAAGGAACTTCTGGAGGCATTACCATCCCTGACTTCAAACTCTATTACAGAGCAACAGTATTGAAAACAGCTTGGTATTGGCACAAGAACAGAGAAGTCGACCTATGGAATCGAATAGAAGACCCAGATATTAACCCACAAACTTATGAACATCTGATATTCGATAAGGGAGCTAAAAGTATAAAATGGAAGAAGGAAAGCATCTTTAACAAATGGTGCTGGCATAACTGGATGTCAACCTGAAGAAGAATGAAAGCAGATCCATATCTATCACCATGCACAAAACTCAAGTCCAAATGGATTAAAGACCTCAACATTAATCTGACCACTTTGAACCTGATAGAAGAGAAAGTGGGAAGTAGTCTACAAGATATAGGCACTGGAGACCACTTCCTAAGCAGAACCCCAGGAGCACAGACAATAAGACAAACAATGAATAACTGGGACCTCCTGAAACTGAGAAGCTTCTGTAAAGCAAAGGACACTGTCAGTAAGACAAAAAGGCTACATTTTGACTGGGAGAAGATCTTCACCAACCTCTCATCAGACAAAGGTCTGATCTCCAAAATATACAAAGAACTCAAGAAACTAGACACTAAAACTCTAATTAACCTAATTAAAAAATGGGGTACTGAACTGAACAGAGAATTCACAACAGATGAACTCCGAATGGCCAAAAGGCACTTAAGGTCATGCTCAACCTCCTTAGCGATCAGGGAAATGAAAATCAAAACAACTTTAAGATACCATCTTACACCTGTCAGAATAGTCAAACTCAAAAACACCAATGATAGACTATGCTGGAGAGGATGTGGAATGAGGGGAACACTCATCCATTGTTGGTGGGAATGCAAACTTGTGCAGCCACTGTGGAAATCACTGTGGCGGTTTCTCAGGAAACTGGGAGTAAACCTCCCTCAGGACCCAGCAATTCCATTCATGGGAATATACCCAAGAGATGGCCTAACATACTACTAAAGCATTTGTTCAACTATGTTCATAGCAGCACTATTTGTAATAGCCAGAACCTGGAAACAACCTAGGTGCCCCTCAATAGAAGAATGGTTAAAAAAAGCTGTGGAACATATACACATTAGAGTTTTACTCAGCGGTAAAAAACAATGACATCTTGAATTTTGCATGCAAATGGATGGAAATAGAAAACGCTTTACTGAGTGAGGTATGCCAGACCCAAAAAGAGGAATATGGTATGTATTCACTCATAAGTGGATTCTAACCATAATTAAAGGTCTTTGAGCCTATTTTTCGTGATCCTAGAGAAGCTAAATAAGAAGGTGAACCTGATGGAAATCATGTAGCTATCCTCCTTGAGATTGGAATTAGACAAGAGTCCCAGGTAACCTTGGGTGATTGGGGTTTGGGAGGGTTGTTGGAAGGGGAGAGGGTTAGAGAGAAGGGAGTAGGGGAGGAATGGGGAAAGCTCGGTGGACTGGGATGGGGGGAGGGAGGAAGGATGGATATGGGATCAGGGAAGAATATATTTCAACTAAGGTAGTCATTTAAGGGTTTACAGGAGACTTGATTATAAATGGGATCCCAGGTCCAAGGAGAGATCCCCAGATTGTTCTCTGGACAGAGGAGAGGGTGCCTGAACCGGCCTTGGCCCACAACCATACTGATGAATATTTTGCTTATCACCATAGAACCTTCATCTGGCGATGGATGGAGATAGAGACAGAGACCCACATTGGAACACTGGACTTAACTCCCTAGGTCCAAACGAGAAGCTGAAGGAAAGAGAACGTGAGCAAAGAATGCAAGACCAGAGGGAACCTTCATCCGATGATGGATGGCGATACAGTTGGAGACCAACATTGGAGCACCGGACTGAGTCCCCCAAGGTCCAAATGAGGAGCAGAAGGAGGAAGAAAATGAAAAAGGAAACCAGGACCGCGATGGGTGCAATCACCCACTGATACAAGGGGACGGATCTAATGAGAGTTTACCAAGACCAGTTGAACTGGGACTGAACGAGGATGTGATCCAACCAGATTCTCTGAATGTGGTTTTTCTGAAAAGCCATTGACAATGACACTGGGACTTGTTTCCTCTGCATATACTGGATTTTGGGGATCCATTCTGTCTGGACACTCACCTTCCTGGACCTGGAGGGAGGGGGGAGGAACTTGAACTTCCCACAGGGCAGGAAACCCTGACTGCTCTTAGGGATGGAGAGGGAGGAGGAGAGGGAGTCGGGGGAGTGGGAGGGTGTTGGGAGGAGGGGCGGAAATGTAAACTTTTATAATTTAATAAAATTACTTTCTCATAAAAAAAGACATAAAAAGATAATGTATGAAAGAAATTAGATTATTAGTGAAGACATAAATATGAGGACCCAATGAGAGACATACATGAATGTAATCTACATGGGAAGTAGAAAAAGACAAGATCTCCTAAGTAAATTGATGCATGGGGACCATGGAAGAGTGTTGAATGGGAAGGGAGAGGAAGGAAAAGGAGCAGAGAAAAATGTATAGCTCAATAAAATTAATCAATCAATCAATCAATAGTGTGGAAAGTAGGTAAATATTACTGAACTGATTTTTAAAGCTAGATGCCATGAAATTATCATGAAAAAGAAATGAATTAAAAAAACATCATCCTGAGTGATATAATTAAGACTGAGAAAGGCTAAGTAAAAAGGAGAACCCAGGGCAGAATGCATGGAATTTTCTAGGAAGGGGAAAGAGTTTTTCCCCCTGGACTGTAGAGAGTTGGGGAGGGGCAACAGGGATCAAGTGGGGGTGGATTGAAGGTGAGAGTTCAGAGAAGGATGAATATAATTGGGCATTAAGGAAGGGCAAAATGGAAACCTAGTGCAGTAGAAAATCCCAGAATTCTATGAGGGTTTCCTTAGCTAGGATTCCTAACAATGGGGAATATGGAGCATGTACGAGCAATCTTCTATAATGACACAATGTCCAGTTCTGAGAGTGGAACTCCATTCCAGTCACAAAACCTTCTACCTATTATATACATTGCTTGAAAGATATGCTGGAGCAATGGAGGTACAGTACTATGGGAGTGGCCAGAGATGACTGTTTTGAAATGAGGTCCATGCCACGTGAATTGAGACCATGCCCAGCACTTCTTGTATGACCAGGAACCTGAAACTGGACATCCCAGAGACATGGATGTTGAATTATCTTGGTTTGAAAAATGACAAGGCTAGCTAAAAGAAAAAAATTATTATGTTTTTATTTATTATAAGGGGCAAACTCTCAGAACAGGAATGAGAAGTCCAAGCTCAGCTGTGTAGCCCAAGAATCACACAGAGAGAGCATACCTGGGCTGCATGACTTTTTCTCCGGGTACCAGAAAGCCACACCCTTACTTGACCCCAACTTTTAGATAATTGGTTAACAAAGATTCCTCATCACTTCCACTTTTGTCTAAATAAGAGCAATCCAAACCCAATGCAAAACTATATGCAATAGAAAAAGATATCAAGTATAAAATTACAACCAACATAAACAATATTTATCGTAAAGAGACTGCTTGTTTGTTTCTAATAGCTCATACCAGAAATAATCACACATAAACTATATTATTTAAATCACTGCTTGGTCCATTAGCTCTAGCTTCTTATTTACTAACTCTTACATCTTAATTTAACCCATCTCCATTAGACTGTACACCACCACAAGGTCATGGCCTAACAGCAAAGTTTCAGCACATCTATCTCCAGTCGTGGCTCCATGGCTTTTTTTCTGACTTCACCTTCTTTCTCCCAGCATCCAGTTTAATATTCCTCACCTAGCTCTGTTCCCCTTTAGCTCTCCTATAGGCCAAAAGCAGTTCATTTATCAGTGCAATCATAGAATACAGAGAGGAATCCCGCATCACCTCCCCTTTTTTATTTAAATAATAAAGGAAGGTTTTAACTTTAACATAGTAAAATTACATAAGACAGTTATCAAGCAAGAATTACACAAGCTAAACGATAAAACAATTATACTTTTATTTATTATAAGTGGCAAACTCACAAAATAGGAACGAGAATTCCAAGCTTAGCTGTGTAGCCTGAGAACCACACAGAAAAAGTGCACCAGGGATGTGTGCCATTTTTCTCTGGGTCCTAGAAAGCCACACCCTAACTTGGTCCTACCTCTTAAAGATAATTGGTTGGCAAAGATTCCCCATCACATAAAACAGAAAACAATTCAATAAAATGATTCATAATGATATTCTACTATGCTCAGAATTCAGTGACTACTTCAGTTTTCATCAGAGAGGTTTCCTACAGCAGATGAGAGGAGATACAGAGACTCATTGCCAAACATTAGGCAGAAAAGAGCACAAACTGGAGATTTCTACTGGGTCCTTCCCATTGGAGCTTGGAAAATTGTAAAGAATAGGTAAAGGAAGATTTATAGCAGCTAGAGATGTCGAAGGCACTAGGAGAACATGACCCACAATGACAACCAAGCAGAACTCATAGGGGCTCAGAGAGACTTAAATGATAATCCCAGAGCCTACATGGGTCTGTGTAACAAACAGGGAGCCTGTGTTCATATTCTACATATGTTATGGCTGTTAGCTTGGTGCTTTGTGAGATTCCAAACAGTGGGAGTGGGGGTAATTTTTGACTTTTTTGCCTGCTTTGGGACCCATTTCCTTCTACTGGATGACCTCACCCAGCCCTGACATGAGGGTTTGTGCCTAGACTTATTGTAACTTGCTATTGGGTGTTTAGTTGATATACCTGGGGGCCTGCTCTTTCCTTAAGGGAAATGAAGGAACAGTGGATCTGAAGCAGAGGGGAAGTGGAGTTGTGGCCTGTGAGTAACGAAGGAGGGGAAACTGCTCTTTCATTTCCCTTAAGAAAATTTTGATACATTGTTTGAGAAAAGAATAAAAATTAATAAATAGTCTGGGAATGCATCTCCATTTTGTCATTACTTGTTGATTATGGATAAAAGGTAAAAATGTTAAGACAGATTTCCCTTACTGTTTACTCATTGACTTCTCAGTTCCACAGCACTCTTGTAGAAGGTAACATACAACTAACAGGGAACTCAGTAAGCTTGGCAGTAATAGTACATAAACAACTGCATCTGCAACAGAAAAGGACTGGTAAGAAGACTCAAGTGGTAGATAAAGACACTAATTGCAGGGCTGAAGAACTGTGTTCAATCTTAGCAATCAACATAGTGGAAAGAGAGCATGCCTAAAAGTTGCCCTGTCAACTCTACATGTACACCTTGTCATGAGCATACACACACACACACACACAAACACACACAAACACACACACACACACACCAAAGAATAGATACATTTCATAACCTAGTTTTTTATCTAAAATGATATATTTTTTATTATTTATAAGTTTTCAAAGCATATAATGTAAGACAGGAATTTTGCTAATTTTACTGGAGGTTTGATAACAAGGTAAATATGCTTCCTTCAGTAAATAGTCCCCTGATATGAGTTATTAAGAAGTCAACAAACACTCTCATTGAGGAAAAAAATATCAATCATTTCTCTGACTTTCTATTTCAGCAAGATTTCTAGATTCATATTTTTCTGCTTTTGTGTTACATAGAAGCATCCTTCCAGTTTTCAACATTCCTTGGATAGTACTGATCTATAATTTTAATTTTACTCTATCATTTTCCATAAGTTCCAAGGCAATGGGGTGGAGAACTTAAGAGAATGATATGATAAAATTTGAAATTAACGGTGCATTAACTTGGAGGTCTGGCCATAAATCTAGAGAACAAACAAACAACAGCTGGTTTCACAGGTGCAGTGCAGGTGGACCTTGGTAAATTATTTTGAACTGTATGAATTGTGACTCTTGCTATCTCAGTTGAAACCACAGTAGTAAATTGGGAGGATTTATCATTAAATTATAATTAAGATTCCCTTCAAAAGAGCCAGTTCTTCGATGTACATTTCCCCAAATATAACTGTTAAGATTTTTAAGGTATATAGAAATGTAAACATCAGTTGTTGATATTGATTATATCTATTATCAACAAGTGTTATCTCACGAAGAAATGCAATCAATTCTGTCCCATGTAGTAGTCTTAAAATCTGTGTTTTAATTTTACATACTGAAAATAAAATCATAAATAATTTTGTAGATAATTTGTCCCCGTGATTCTCCCAGAGTTACCTGACAGTTTCATAGAGTATCTTCATTTCAAAGGTTACTGTGACCTAAAAAGAAGGAAAAACAATAATTATAAGTCAAGAAATATGACTACTATTGTCTTAGATTCATTTCCAAGGCTAGTATCAGCTTAATTTCTAATGCTGTTAGTAGGCAATCTTTGGAAGCTGTAACTAGTTTGTCACATTTCTTTGTGTGCGTCCTTTCCAAAAGCATGGCCCCACCTTGCTCAAGATGTGAACATCCAACACCCAAATCGAAGCCTTGCTAGAAGATGCCTATCTGTGATTACTGTAAGCTGTTCAGTGCAGGGCGGATGACTCAGTGGTTACAAGCATCTGCTACTCAGTCACAGAACTGAAGTCTGTTTCCCAGGACATCAATTGAATGCCTTGCAATTGTCTGTAATGCCAACTCCAGGGCTGCTGCATCATATTCTGGTCTACTCCGGTATCTGAAATCATGTAGCATAAGTTTAAAGAAAATATAAATTATATATTAAAATGAAATACACTTTCCAGTGATGTGAAACAAGAAGAGATTGGTATGGAACAGTAAGAAGAAAAAATTTAGAAAAAAATTTTACTTTTCTTCATACCTATTTTTGTGTCTATCATACCTTTTATTGAATATATATGTCTGTATTGTCTATATAAATAATATTTAAGTTCTCCACAATGAATAATGAATTTTCTGCTGTAATCTTTGAAGTTTCCAGGAAGAAGATGGGGCCCCACAACAACTCCACCTGTTTAATATGATATCATGATGCTGAACAGCACTACGAAAGACATTTTTTGGGTACTAGCTGTTCAAGATGGTTCCAACTTTGCTAGCAGAAATGGAGCACTTTTTCACAATGTTCTGGCCAGAACTCCCAATAGAAACCTCAGAAAAACTCTACCAAAAACTCAGAGACTATTTGCAATTATACCAAACTGTAATCTTGGAACTTAACCATCATTTTATTTTCACAGGATCCCATAGAAATAACATTGCCCCCATGACAACTGGTTGTAATTCTAGAAGACAGTGTCCCCTTTCCCAACAAAGTTTGTCCTCAGGGTTAGGAACATCATTTAGTGGTTGATTGTAATTGTTATAGTGTTGAGGGTTGGGGGAAAAATTGTATATGCTCAGGGATCTCTTTTTAAAAGAGGGGGGAAATTAGATATGGATGGGATAATAGATTAGTGTGAGCTTACTCACACTAATAATAATAATGAGTAATAGAGTGAATGCTTGTCAGCTATTATTTATAGGCAATTTACATTGATATAGATTCTTGTATATTGATACAAGCTCAAATTATATTGAATAAGTTCTTATTTTCACCTACAATATTTGCATATCTAGGCAGTTATTTTGTCATATTCTATGCAGGCATATGTCTACCTCTGCTTAAGACATTTTGTATATTGATACAATTTTAGGATATAATTATCATTTTGCAAAATATATTTTTACCTCTGATTAATGTTCTTATACATTTTGAGATCATTTTCCTCATTTGTTGCACAGTTGTTTAAAGATTGTTTAATATTCTAATATGAAGTCTTAGTTTTTGCGTTCTATAAGTATTAAGATTCATAGGTCAATAGCCATCCATGTTTGTCACACTTATAGTTATACTAATCTGGTTCTTTAGATACATAGAGATTGTATTCTGCATAGATAGGCAATCTTCAACCACTTCAAAGAGCATTTAAATAAAAGGGTTCTGTTGAAGTGAGACATGATTGCTTCTGGCAGCACCTATCTACTCTCAAGCGACGGCACTCCACTTGGAGTTTGTTTTCTTCTTGGCAAAACTGGCCTTTGGACAAGAAATTGCCCATGTACTGGCAAAATGTACAATGTCTGGACAGGACAAGCAGAATACAGGAAAAAGGAGAGTCAAATCTTGCCCAGAGAGGGTAGACGATTTTGAAAAATTTACTGCCTCTGAGAATGGTCTGTCAGTTACTCTAGGCCTTAGTCAAAGTTTATTGCTCCAATGTTGTTAATGAGACTTTGGGTGATTGCTCAGGTAGACAGTTCTCCCTGTCATTTTTAACATTTTGGAAGTTGGTTGATTGCACTTCCTGCTTACTAAAGTAATATTATTTCCTTTCTTGGGTCTTTGATGGGGTTGAAGACTAGATAGCTGCAGTTACTTTCCTCTCATGACTTAGCCTAGTTATTGATTATACAAGGCTTAAACTCATTAGGATAACTATTGAAGCATTTACTAAATTTTTCTTGCTTGATATTGTTTATGCAGGTCACAATTCTAATTTTATACCTGATATTTGTTCTTATTGTATATAACTTTGTATTAAGCTCAGAACTTTCTTGTTTAAACAAAAGGGGGAGATGCTGTAGGAATTCCTACTGACAGGAGCCTTTAAGTTACTCACCCACTTGGGCGAGGTTTCTTATACTATGTATGCCGATGTAAAGTGCATTGGCCTCTTTTCTGGCTGCAGGATTCGGTTGCTGTTCCCTGATCCAGCAGAAGATTATGATCTATGAGTCTTCCCATAAATAAATAACCCTTTATTATACTCAATTCTGAGCTAGCGTTGGATTTCTTTAAGTGTCCTTCTTCATTAAAATTCAGTTAAGTAATGTCTGAATGTCATCAAATAAATTGAATATTAAATAATTTCATTAAAAAACTGTGTGTGCTGTACAAGTACTTGTGTGTATGCACACATGTGTGTGTGTGCCAAGGGGTGCTCATAGAGATGAAAGAATAACCAAGGTGCGTGCACACACACAAACACACACACACACACACACACACTTACACACACATCTATGCATACTGTGGAAATTGGGACAAGAACACAAAATGCCATAGTCAATTCTTTCAGACATCATGTGTGTCCCAGGAATTTAAAGCAAATCACCAGTCTTGGTAGTTAGTGCCTTTAATTTCTCAGCCTTCTGACTACCTAGGTCCAAATCTATAAATAAGATGCCAAATTATTTTACATGATTTATTTTCAGTTCAGTCATTATTATTGGACATGCTTCTGTTTTGAAAATTTCCGTGGTAGTATAGCATTAGCATTAGTGGAGAATAAATTTATATGTCAATTAAATGGAGCTATTAAAGCACATATAAAAGTAATTTCTATCACAATTCTCCCTAAAATATATAACTCTTTGATATTGGAATTAATATGAGAATAGTATCCTAGAGAGAAGCATAAGCAATTGTGAATAGATGATCTGAAAGCAAAGAGAAAACTGTACTTATGCTAATTTGATGCTGTTAGTTCAATTTTGTAAGAGAACACAGCCTTTGCAGATTTTATGACTGGTTCCTGAATGACATATTACACCTTAAGGAGAATGTTTTATGGAATAGAAGTTATTTTGCATGCATAAACACAAGCTCATATTTACAAACGAGAGTCTTACTCGGGGATGTGGGTGATCCTGTGTAGTTCCTGCTGACAGTCGCTGCAGTAATTCACAGTTTTTAGCTCTTCCAGTACAGCTGTGAAGTCAACAGGGAATCGTTCAATTATTTGTGATTTTATATGCTTTTTGGCTAAATTTTAACATCAAATACAAAATTTTACATGTGGGGGCATTATAGAGATCTGTGTCTGTCCCTGAAGGATGTGAGACCTATATGCCAACAAAAGATTCATAAATGAGTTCATCTGAATGAGATATACATTTCTTTTCCAGCGATGCTTCTGCAGGACCAGCCCAGGGAATTGTCAAAACAGAAGGTGGTCCCATAATCATGAATAAACTGAAAATGGATCCTGTAGATTAACTTGGCATATGAGATATGAGTTTTCTGAACAGAGTGTAACATTTCAATGGCTGCCACTCTGTCAGCGACAGAGGATATGCAATGAGGTGGAAAATTCTCTAGAGCCGTATGTATTTGACTCACAGGAACTGAGTAGGCACACAATTTTGGGACATGGAAATAAAAACATATCTCACTGATTGTGCAAAAGTGTGTGTTGCTAAATGTGAGTCTTACGATGTCCTGAATTTCAGAGAGGGTGCCTGCCCTAATTGTTACTACTCTTGTCATGTAAAACATTTAGGTTTCATAGATTTTGATTTTATTTTCTGTACTATTTTGAAAATCTTTGAACTTGTTGCTGTATACACACACACACACACACACACACACATATGTATATATATATTCATGTCAACATTCTCAGGTAGAGCTGAACTTGAAATTTTAAGGGTTTTTGCTTCTTATACTAAAATTTGCTTTCCAGTACTTTTGAGGAATTATTTCCTCTTAGTTCCTCTTGAACTGTTTCTTATGCTCAGTTTTATCAAAATGTGTGGTACAAAGGTCATGGTCTAGAATAATTTCTATTCACTGTTAGCCTTGAGTTTACATGGGAAATATGATTTTGTGGTTTATGAATAAGAATCATTTTCTTTGAATTTCAAGGACCAGGATAGTTCTTAGTATATTTGTAAAAAAAAATTACTGGGAAAATGTTTATGAATACTTCTTTCTCTCTCTCTCTCTCTCTCTCTCTCTCTCTCTCTCTCTCTCTCTCTGTCACACACACACTCACACACACACCCCTTACCATTAATAAAACTGCAAAGTGATGCTATCATAATTATTGATAATGTACTGGATCATTTTTGCTAACAACAGTACAGTAAAACAACCCTGAACTTGAATGTTTTCCCTCCAATTATGTACTTTGAAGCCAAACCCACAGTGTGATAATATGAAAATGGGGGAATAAAATGGGGGAACTGTGGCCATCACTAACTCATAAGTGGGTGCACCCACCAGTAGGACTGGTAACCCTTGTACCCTCTCCATGAGAGAACTTCTGCGGAGAAGAATTTCTACAGTCACTGAAGAGGTTGGTTCTCCTCACATTCAGAATCTTCCCGAAGATTTATCAGGGATTTTCAAGTTTTCAGACATTTGGGGAAAAATTGTTCTATATAAATTACTCAATCCCCAGTGCTGCCTTATAAGAACCCACATGTATTCAAACAATGAAAAAAAATGAGTTCTCTGTATTTTCTCTTCAGACCTACCCTGTGTCCTAGTATACAGTCAACAATAAAGTTACATGTGTTCCTGAGATGAATGTGTATTCTTCAGTGGATGGGATGATCTGTCTAAGTTTGCTAGGTCCATTTCATTTATGATATCATTTGACTTCACAATTTCAGTGTCTGTTCGGTAGAGGATTTTATTTTGGTAATGATTTGTTTGTTTGTTTTCCAGATAGTTTGTCTATTAGTGAGAGTGTGGTATTGAAGTCATTTAATATCACTATGTTAGGGCTATTCTGGGGCTTAGATCTAATATTATTCCACAGAGATAGTATCTGTATTCTTGATGTTTTTTTTTTCTTTAATGAAGTATAAGACAAACATGTTCTGTACCTACTAATTAGTTTCTTTGTGTGTGGTAGGCCACAGAGTCCACTGAGACATTTTATTTATCCCTGTGTTTTAAATCTCTAAAAACTAATGCCAGGATTTTTTCTGTTGTTTGATTCTTAAGTCTTTGTTCATGGTCCAGTATACCAGCTGAAGTTGTCAGTAAATGAAACCCAACAGAGAGGATGAGAGTAGATTTCTCTGTCATTTTTCTAATTCTTTGAGTGCACGTCAAATCTAAGGCTGAACACACTGGCCTTGATCAATCTACCTGTGATGTTCACAACAATCCTACTGCAACTGTGATCATCAGTGATGTCAAATTCACAAATTATAATCACACTTACTCACAGGATCATGGCTTTGGAGCAAGGCCCAATAAGGACATTGTGCTTGTCTCTCTCTTTTTTTTTTTTTCAGCATTGTTGATGTTCTTGCAAGCCTTGGAAAATCATTCATGCACACCTTACTGACTCCATAGAAGATGACCAAAATACTTGAATAGCTTTTAAAAGGGGGGGAAGTAGAGCATGAGAGACAGTATTTAATGTAACCTAAGCATGTCTCTGATTCACTTAGTTCCTGAGAATAAAATGGAATGCCTCTTTTCTTTCTTTTGTCTTATTTCGAATATACATATGTGGTGTACATGTGAACAATCACATATACATGTGAGCATGCATGTAAAGACAGGTAGGGTTGAAGTTGAGGAATTTCTTTAGTTTTTCTCTACTTTATTTATTGAGATGCAGAAGTTCACTTAATGTGAAGTCAGGCAATCCTATGTGGACCAGTGGCCAGCTTGTCTCAGGGACTTCCTGCTTCTGCCTTCCAAGCTTGTAATTTTAGGTGACCAGTATAGTCCCTCGCCCCTTTGATGTGGGCTCAGGAAATACGAGTTCCTTTCTTCACACTTGCACAGAAAATCACTCAGCATATCTTGAACCATCTCCCCAGCATCATTCTGAAAATGTGTTTTTCCTGGCTCCACGTCCTGAGTGTTCAGAATAAAGACTTCTACCACTATGTCCAATTTACTTGAAATTGAAGATTGATTCAGGTCTGCATGAAAGCTAAGCATACACTCTATGAACTGAATAACAATCCCAGAAACTGTGTTTTAATCTTTGTTCACATGATTCTTCTAATGGTCTCAATATCTATAAGTACAATTTAATAAAAATTTGGTATCTAATATTGTTGGACCATTTACAAAGTATAATTTATAGTCTACCTCTTCATCCTACAATTTCATTTTAACTTACTATCTATTTATCATTTGTACCTTTCATATCATGTATCTTGATTCCATTCATTTCCCCATTCCTTTTTATCTGCTCTCTCCTCTTGAACCCCCCCCCCAAATATAAAATAAAATTTAAGAGAAAAAAAGAAAAAATTCAATCTCGTCATGAAAGCTGTGGTGGGAAACAGTGAGTCATGCAGTAAACCCTTTTATCCATATATTTTTACTGGCAAATGTTCATTGAAACGAGTCATTGGTCTCGTCTGAGAACTGTGGTTTCAGTTACACTATGGTTACTGGGCCCTCAATGGAACTCTTCTTTGATATTCTATCGTTGCCCTGAGTCGTGGAGATCTGGAGCCTGGGGTGTTCAGCACCGCCCACTTCACATGCTGCAGTAGATCATAGATAGGGTGCATGTTGAGGTTTGTTAGGTCATAACCCTGTTTCTGGGCCTTGGTAGAGGCAAGGGTTAATCAGCCAGTCACCTATCTCCTGTCTTGATCACTGGGGTGAGCTTTCCAGCATTGTGCTGGATAGTTTGCTCCTGGCAGCCATGGGCAAAGGGCTGTGCCAGGTCTTCAGCTTCCACGCCTCCGGAGTCTACTCTCCCACACCCGCACCATCAAGAACCGAGCCACTGTACTGCCCAAGCGAGGTGCAGGATCAACTCTGCTGAGTTCTGTAGCTGGTGAGGTGCAGGGACAGCTCTTCCACTCTTAAGATCTCAGGACCAGCTTTGCCACCTGTCACAGACAGAGAGAGGGTGGAGGAGAAAGCGGGGGCATCTTTATTTGCTGCCCACACATCCATATGGTAAATAGCAGGGCAGATCTTTTCAGCGCACAACCCCCATTCCCCAGTCAATATGGTCTGCTCTATTGCACTACCTAAGTAAGACGCAGGGCCCACTTTCTGAAGTGCTGCAGCTGTTAAATTGGAGAGTCCGCTCCCTTGTGCACAACAAGTGGTAGGGGAAATGGGGAGGGCATCTTTCCCTCACCTTTACCACCACATGGCAGACAAGGGCGTTGTGGTCATCTCTCTCATTTTCACACTCTTGGGGACAGCTCAACCTTGCCTCCACCGACAGGGTAAGCTCCGATGTGCTGCCCATAAGTGGAGCAGGGCCCACTTTCCTGAGGTCTGCAGCTGGGAGAGAGTGGATGGACAGCTCACTAGTATGTCACAGGGAACAAGGGGCAAGGGATAAAGAAGTGACATCTCTCCCTGACCCATACAGCCACACAGCAGCTGAGGGGTGGAGTGGATCTCTCATGCTCACATTCTCTGACACCTCACCACAGCCCTTGGCAACTTGGTCAGCTCTGCTGTTGCCCCAACAATTTGCGGGACCCACTTTCCTGAGTGTTACAACTGGTAAATGGGAGGTTGGGTTCTGTCACTAGCTGAGGGTGGTAGGGGAGAGGCAGAGGGGCGTCTTTCTCTTGCCCCCACCACTACACAACAGATGAGAACGCCATACCAATTATGCCCCTCTCAGGGCCTCCGAGCTAGATCACCTATCTACAAGGTCAACTCTACTGTGGTATCCAGGTCAGCTGAGGGCCCATTCTCTCAAGTGCTCCAGCTAGTGAGGGGTTGGTTCAGGTTCCCCACTTGCTGAAGGTCATGAGGGGAGGCATCTTTCATCTTTCCCTCACCACATGGCAGGTATGACCTGATTTCCCATTCTCATGCCCCCAAGCCCAGCTTGGCCATGCCCCTGTGAACAGGGTTAGCTCTATTGTGTTTGCCCAGTGATGTTAGTACTCTCTCCCATGAGTGCTTCAGTCAGTGAGGAGGACCAGTTCTCCCTAGTGTTGCAGTCAGTGAGTGGGCAGGGCCAATTTTGTACAG